GGCCCTCCGCCGACACCAGCACGTTATTGCTGTTCACGTCGCGGTGCACCACGCACGGCTTGCTGCCGCCTGCACAACACATAAACATATACTAAAGATACATAGTTTTTATAAGGTAAAAAACTACCTACAAGCTATAGGAATTCGCCCAAATAGCGTAGATACCACTGCCCAGACATAGGGGAAATCTTTACCTATAAGTCACATACATTTGTATGTAGACATACATATATTTTCTTATGAAAATACTATAATAGTAGTGAAATCTATACAACAGAATATGTAGGCCTATAGGTTTATTCTGCCAGAAAACATTTAAAAACTATAACGTTGTGGCTTATGGTAAGAAAATGGTAGAAAAAAATGCTAGTGAGTTATCATAATCACAATTATGTCCACCAAATCAAATGACATACACAAGATACACACATTCCAAAATCTATCAATTCCATAGACAATGAATAAAAGTAAAAAACAGTGTTTAAAATAAAAAAAATACAGTCTTACTGGGTGTATGTAGATGTGCGAGTGCGGCGGCCACCCCGTGCGCGAGTGTTGCGAACTCCAGCCACGTGAGCGGGGCGCGCTCTAACCGCGCTCGCAGCGAACTGGAGCAGAGTTCCAGCACCACGAGGTGTTCGCGACCCACACCCTCGGTCATAGTAGACCGACTCTCACTACCTATGATTATATTTAATATAATTTTATTGTTACACCATTAGTTATGTATCAAAGTTATCCTGATGACTTCTATTTTAATCCGAAAGGTACTTACACTACCTATAAACATATATTCTTGATATTAAAGCTATCGGGCTGTTCTTTTCCTTGTACACTAGTTTTTATAACCAACAAATGAGCAGAATGATCTTCGATCTTTTGATAATAGACTGGAGTAAAAATCACTGTTTTTGTGACCTATTCGAATCAAACACCACACATAAACTAAGAAACTAATACACAGATTTATTTATTGCTTATTATGTTAACACTCTTTCAAAATGCTATCTTACTCTGCAAAAATAGACTCAATCTTTAACCCATCAGTTATGCCACCTTACATTACGAATATCTTAAAAGAAAAGTCATATTAAAAAAAAAAAATATGTTTAATTTAAAACAGTGAAAACCAGCGTCTTCTGTGATAAGCTCAAGGGCGTATCAGCTGAGCCTTATCTTATTACCCAAGGAATGCAATATTCCTATTTTTAAGTAATTAATAAAACTTACCATAGTATCTCAGTAGATTAGGATGCGCTAGATGCGGCAGGCCGTATATGGTGGCCTCCTTGTGCCAGGCGGAGGCGTTGCTGTACAACTTGACTGCCACCGGCGTGGCGCCCAGCGTGCCGCGCCACACCGACCCGAACTTACCCTGACCTACATCATACATATATACTATTGTAGCGTAAACACACACTTCTTTGTTGCCTAAGATGTCAGCAAATTTTTGAATAGTTATTTCTTTTAATAAAAAGCCCTACACTTACCTCACGCTTTAGGCTTTATATTTTCACGCCCTAAAACTTAGGCTGTACTTATTTTGGATAAAAACCATAATGTGAGAAAGACACCATAAGTTGCTGCCAACATCAAGAAAGTAAGATTGCTAAGTTTTGTCATGTCATGTCATTTTCTATTGATATTTTGACAAATGTAAAGAATAAATAAGCAATGTTTCCAATCTGATAAGTTTTTCATGGAATTTGTAATTTAAGCATTGTCTTATCATTTAAGTCGTTTTAGTATTCGGCCGTATGACACTATAAGGATGAATATGAATCGTGATACCTCATTTGTCAAAATAGGTTCAGTAGTTTCAGAACTCACAATTGATATACAAAAAAATAGTCCACCCAAGTTAGTCAGATGAAAAAAAAAACATCATTCATCTCTTACCTATGTGCTCAATAAGATTAAGGTTATCCACACACAGCAAGCCCGTCGCCAATGCATCAGGTCCACTTCCCATTACATCACCTGAACACATAATACAAACATACAAATATCAACAAAATTCTACAAATATGTCCAAAATTTACAGAAATCGACATCACCGACCCATTATGAACTCTATTTCATACTGGACTAGATTTATAATAAACTGTCGACAAATTATAAAACAAAAAAATGAGTACAATGAAAGTCAAAAATAAAATTTGTCGTTACCTTTCTCAACATCAGTGGCATCACTCAAATCATCCTTTACCAGTGTTTTCCTGCAGTATATGTTCCTACACATGATTGCTATTACTAGTACCGAAACCAGAGCTAAGATGCCTGACGCAATGATACTTGGGTACTTTGGTTGTTGCGAGGAACTACTCATTGTCGATTCTGCTTTTACAGTAACTGTTTCTTCTTTGAGGGATACTGTAAAAAAAAATATTAGACTATTTACATTACAGTCTTATGTTATGTGTTTGAACCAATCCGATTGCTAGAATTTTTTGTTATTAGGTGGATTGAATGGATGGATTCTATCTTTGCAAAAAAATTTTCAGAAAGAAACATCCTTTTTACATTATTTAAAGATAATGAAGAAAACATTATTAGCCATGGCAAACTTGATAATGGATTAAGTTGCATCTTGATTATTTATTTAATAAAAGTGTCTTATTTAAAAGGATACCAGGTGGAATACTAAACTAGACAATAAACATAGTTTCTACAACTAATAAAAAAATTCACTGTGTTAAGCCTATATATTCCTCATATGTCCTTGTCCTTAACACAGTAATAAAAGCATAATAGCTTTAAAAGTTTATAATAATCAAAGAAAACTTACGAAAATCAGCATTACAATAGCTTTTAGTACAACAACAGAACTTGCTGCCTGGCAGGCGAGCTGTAACTCTTGTACATTTGTCACAACCTTCGGTTTGAGAGGATCGCCAACAACCTGTAAAAATTAAACAATTTAATAGATCAACATAGCTAGCTTAGGTATTTAATCTTGTAATCTACAGATCCTGGGTTCAATTCTTGTCTTGCCTTAATATTTTTTCTCTAAAGAAGTACAAACATAAATTGATTATGGTCCTGTCATCCCTAACACATTGATTGTAAGATATTGCTCATAGCAACAAGGTCACCCTTGCCCTATTGTAATGTTTTTGCACAAAGTATTAAATAAATAAATATTCAAGCATTTTTAAACAGATTATGTTTTTTTTTATCATAACAAACCTTGCCCCATAACTGTGATGTTGCCCTCCTTGTCTTGATGCCAGAGAGTATAGCAGAAGGCTCGAGGGTCTGTGCAATGTTCTATCTGAGCCACATCACCACTTGGCAATGTTGTCTCTGACAGGGTGCCAGGTGTATCTAAAATTCAAATTTTATTTCTTACACATTGACAATTTAAACCTGTATCTTAGATGGATAGGCAGACATTACTGAATTTGTATTTAGTTTGTTGACTCTAGAAGTCGATTTAATTTGTAAAATATGCAATAATTTCAACAATCATTATTGAACATCTTCCTAATGTGAAAATTTAGAAGGATGGTTGTTTGTTAAAAAGTACCTCTAGAACTGCATAATGGATGTCAATGAAATTTAGTATAGATCATAACCATCACCATCATCAACACCAGCTCACTATACATCCCCACCGAGGGGCTCAGAGCCAAGGGATGGGGTTAATAGATATATTTACTAAATTAAGCCATATACTAAATTTCTCCTTTAATTCTGCATGGATGGAGTTGCAAGCAAAATTTAGTATTAAATATAAGTTAATTTACTTGTCTTAAGGTTTGAAATCACTTACCAAATATTTCATTTTCAACAACTAATTGAGCATTCTTTTCATCATCATAGGATGGTGTAACACTCAAAGCCACATTATGGATCTTATAGAGACAGGAAATAGTTGGTCCTTTTGTAGTTGGTGCATCAGTCACAATTATAGCTGCCTTCACTTTGTACTGTTTCACTTGGCTGGATACTGTATTTTGACTTCCAGAATCTTCCTTATTCGAGTTGATAGCATTCTTCTCAAATGATCCAACAATATTGTTCCTCACAGACTCAGATACAAGTTGATTTAAATCTTGATCATTTCCACTTACAAAGTCATTTGTACTAATTGTATCTACACTTCTCTTACCTATGACCTTGGGTTGGGACTGGTCTTGGATGGGCCAGTAGTCAGCTAAATCTTGCATATTGTTCCACTGTATACTTCTCCTGTGATGGTATTTGGTGAAAGTCCTCACATAATGAGATGGTTTTAAGTGTTGTATGTTGTTTTTGGTGTCTTGAGATTCTTGAGGTCTTGACGTTAATACCTTCGCAGTGAAAATGAATAAAAATAAGACGACACATTTTAAAAGCGGTGTAACTCTTTGGGTCAACATTCCTTCCATCATTTTCCCCGTAGAACTTTAAACATAGTGCATAGGATTCATTTTATAATGAATTTAGGCTAATGCATAGATACGTAATTGCAACTTAGCAACGCACTGCAGGATTTATTGATTTTTCGTAGCTAGACCAAACATACGGCAGAAGCTTTCACTTTCACGAAATATAGGTTCAATATTTAACACTCAATTGAGATTTTCACAACACCTTATAGCGTAACCGGCTTAGAATTGATGTTTTTGGTGAAACATATTTTAATTTTCCGAATTTTTTTATGATTATATTTTCTATTTACATTTAGTTTTCAGTTACAAGGTAAACAACGATAAACAATGTATAATGTGAGAAGAGACTACAGATTTTTGAAGTTGAGGAATTTATAAATGAAACATTTATTTAAAAAGGGATCGATAGAATGTTGACAAACACATTTCATCACCGACCGACATATTTACTGCGTCGAATTGTTGCCATTGCATAATATCTTATATCTTACAAATCACAACTGTTAGCTTCTTAACTATTTTTGATATGTTTTGTTTTCTTAAAAGTAATTTTTTAATCTGTGCTAATTATCAATACATTTATATTTATTTAACACACAAATATTATTAAGAAAATATTAGAAAACGGAAGGAATAGTGGGGGGGTAGTTTTATAAAATATATGGCAAGTAGTGACTCGAACTCAGTTTTAACCCGCTTACGTGCTTTTATGACCACGAAAGATATGCCTATCGCCGAACAGTTTGGATTTCACGCCAAACATTCATGCACTCATCAAGTGCACCGCATTATGGAACACATTCTAGCTAAACGTCAACGCGGCCTTAACACCGGAGCTCTCTTTCTTGACGTAGCAAAAGCGTTCGACAAAGTATGGTACAACGGACTCATATACAAGCTATGTGAGTACGGAGTACCCGATCGTCTCGTATGCATAATACGAAACTTCCTAAGTAGTCGCACGTTTCGCTTCCGCGTCGAGGAAGTTTGCTCTAGTTCACATCCCGTTCGAGCCGGGGTCGGTGTTAGGGCCAGTCCTATTTACACAATATACCAACGATATTCCGCGGTGTGGAACTAGCGTTATTTGCTGATGACACCTGC